CACACAAATCACCAAGATCTTCAAATATTAGTAAAGGCATGAGTCCTCAAGCAAGTGATATTTGTGAAACTGACAAGTTTTAAAAATCATCTCAGACATCCATAATAGTGCAACAGTGAGATGCAAACATGTTGCCAGTTGAATATTAACATTATTACACCTAGTACGGATATTATGAGTTCCAAAATCAAATGAAAATTGAAATAGTTAAAACCAAAGAGGAAGTTTATATGAATTTACGCTTCCAGTAGCCATACAAGGGGTTAGTTAGATAGCATATAGTCAAACCATTGTGTTGAAGCAAAACCTACCTTTTCAAGGGTTGTGATGCTGGAGAACAATTAATCTAAATTTTCCAAACAATATAACTTGGATCGACTTTCATGAGCTAATTTGCATTCATAGTCCCTAATATTTGGCCACATTTCAGTTTCTTTTTTTTTTTTTGGGTGAAATTGACCATATTTGAATTAGATTCATACCTTTAAAACCTTAGAGTTCAGTACTAAAGTTTTCATTCTTGTCTCAATCTTTTTCCTTCTATTTTAACAATTTGTACTCTAGCAATAGAAAATCCACACATATTATAAGTCAACACCATATAAGGTAATGTTAAGTTGGCATAAAAAAGTTCGAAGTAAAGAGAAAAATCCACAGTATGAGGAATGACTTAGCAAGGTTCGTTGTTCAATTCTGTGGACTTCTCATTGACAGACACAGTATATAAATGATAGGAAAGTTTACCAGGAAATTTTTATGCTAACCAATATTCACTTATGTGGGGCTGACATGTAATCCATATAGGTATTTGTCGAAAAATTAACTAACTGCTACCATAGAAAGATCAAATTGAAACATAACCACTTTGTTGATCTTGATTTCAAAATTTCGAAAGTCAAAGACCATAGTGACTAATCAATTTGTTAATAAAACCACAAAAAAGAAGTTGTTATGTATATGATAAAGAAAAAGATTATAGAAACTTACCTCCCAAGAGACTTATGGTGTAAAATAAGGCCCATCCCAAAACCATCAAGCCCTGTATGCATCAATACCCACAACAACACCTTTTAGAATCCTTTATTTCTAAAAAACTCAGAAACTGACAAAAACAATCCAACTACTTAAACAATAAAAAATTACCCAAATTCATCAACATAAAAAAAAATCAAATCATTAAAGGGCATCGACAATTTAACCTATTCACTAAAACTCAGCCATCTAACTATTTCCTCCTTAAGAACATATGAAAAACATACAAATAGTTGTATATATTAAATGCATACAAGAATTGATTGATTAATAGGTTTTCGTGCTACAACCCTTCTACAGACACATAAATACGCACAAATATAAACACATGCACAAAATATACATATTTGGACATGTTTTATGCATATAAACAGTAGATAAATCATCAGAGTTTTGCACTGTAAACCCTCTATTACCAGGCAAAAACAGAAGAATTGGAGCATCTTTGACAGAACTCCCACAATCGACAGGGCAAAACCATCTAGGAGGTCCACCATCAGGCTTAACCATCTCTTTAGCTCCTTCAAGATAATCCTTCACAGTCTTAGTCCCATATCCATCATCCCACAACACCTCCAGTTCTCTCCAGACTTCACCTTTCACCAACTTCTTCTTCTTCTTCTCTTCAACTATTCCAGACTTCAATCCTCCATTCCTCTCTCCACCAATCAAAATCCCATCTTTCTCGTTCTCCCTAACCAGAGAAGCTGAGCCATTAACCGAGCCTAAATCAGAGGACAGAACTGCTGCAGACTCACCACCGGTCACACTCTCAGCTCTCACCCGCAAACGAGGCTTACATTCTGAACTCCTTGCAAAAGAAGGCGACACCCTGAAACTCGCAAATGAATACGCCATTCCCTCCACATAAAACGGCATAGATTTTCAAAAACCCACTTCGGAAAACCAACCAAAACTGCGGAAAAAAGTAAAATCTTTTTCAACCACGAGCAGCAAGCAAACAAGGTTCTATGTCCTAAAATCACTCTCAACTGAAAAAACAAAGATAAGGTCACACCTTTCACGCTTGTGATGAAATCGGGAGGAAACCCAGCAAGCAAAAGTGACAGCAGGGAAGAGCCTCCAGAATTTTCATGATATACTTTCTTCATGTATCTTACAAATATATAGTGGGCGTTATAACTTAACAAGGAAAGTAATTAATGAAGAGGGAAAATAGAGATAAACACGAAATAATAGAAGAGTAAAACTTTACAACACAATAAATTGGTAACGAAAAAAAGGAAATCAAAAATTGAAAAGTAAACACACAGGATATTCAAATTTGACATGATGGGTAGAAATCAAAGTTTGGATTTTAGTTTAAAGGTTGAACCTTTAGTGGTTTTTTTTTTTGGCCTTTTCCGATGGAGATATACAGATATATATACACATACATACATATATATATATATATATGGAGGTTGGATGCAGTGAGGTTGAATTGTTGATCACCTTTCGTTTTCTTTGGTTAAGATTTGGCCACCATCTTCATCACTCCTTTTCTTTCTTTTTCTCCCTCGGGTTTTAACGGTCAATATTACGATTTGCAGACAACTGCGCGGGTGGGTGCTTCTTTTGTCGCCTGATAATGTTCTTTTCCATATTTTACGAAAATGCCACTGGTTTTACTTAATTCTTTATTTTCTGTATTTACATATATATATATATATATATATATACATATATTTAGTTCATAAAATTAAAAACGAGAAAAATAATGATAAAATTCAAAATCATAATTATTTTTAAAAAATTAATTAATTTTTATTTTAAAATATTAATTAATTTCTCGATAAAAATTTATTTTTTTCTATTTTTTTTTTTAAATTATTCTTTTCCTACACTTTACTTTCTTTACAAGTTCTTATCCAAAACATAACGTAAGAGTTTAATAATTCGAGTCTCTATCTCACCCAATTCTCTCTCCAAAAATATCTATATATATATATATATATTATTTGAATTAATTAATATTAATTATGTAATAAATCATCACATGGTTAATTATTAAATATGGTTGATTACACGTATCAATTTCAAAGGACCCCAATTATGGAAAGAAAAAAAGACAATTCTTTTTCTTCTAAAAAATTTGCTAAAAACAAAGTATAATAAAAATTAGGTTTTAGTTTTTGTATTTTTATTTTAAATTAGTTCATTCGAGTTAAAAAGTTACGGACTTACTAATTTTTTTTATTATTCGAAGTAAAAATTGAATCAAATATTATTTAATCTCGTTCGATTACGGACCGGAAAGAAAATTTTAGAACTTAAACTAATGTGTGGGGGAAAAAAATTGAAGCTTTTTATATTTTGGGAGAAAAAGTTGTAAGCTTTAGTTTGCATTTTAGAGTAAAGATTATTTCTTGACCAATTATTGTGTATACCCAAGTTCCAAGTAGCAAATTTTGAACCACTCAATACATATTAGAGATGGAAAACAAAATAAAATTACATTATTTTGTTTAGTTTCTTTTTTCAAAATTGGAGTTCAATAACTTTTTATGGCACAATGTTCAAATCGATTTGGCATGGTGGATAACGACATGATTGTTCTCGTCCTCTTGCATGGACACCAGAAAGCTACTGTATCTACTAAGAAGAAGCACGAGTCTGAAGCTTCTGATCCAAGGAAAGCTTATTCATCAGAAGATTCTGAGTTTAGGATTACAAGAAAATGGAGTCTTCTCCAAAAATCTCATAAACCTCTACCTCTCCTGCCGCCAGCTTAACTCTGCAAATCTTGTTTTTGATGCCATTAAAGACCCACTAGACGTTTCTTTATGGAATTCCCTTTTGGCAGGTTACACCAAGAACTCCATGTTCGTTGAAGCTCTGGAGCTTTTTGAGAGACTATGGAAACACCCTGGTGTGACACCTGATTTCTACACCTACCCAAGTGTGCTAAAGGCTTGTGGCGGGTTGGGAAGAGTTGGTTTGGGGAAGATGATTCATACCCATCTGGTTAAAAATGGAGTTGGGTTTGATGTTGTTGTTGCAAGCTCTTTGGTGGGGATGTATGGGAAATGCGGTGTTTTTATGAATGCATTGCAGGTGTTTGATGAGATGTCTGAACGAGATGTGGCGTGTTGGAACACTGTAATTTCTTGTTATTATCAGAGTGGGAAAGTAAAGGAAGCTTTGGATATTTTTGAGAAGATGAGGGTTTCTGGGTTTGTGCCGAATTCGATGACGATTACAACTGCAATTTCTGCGTGTGCAAGGCTTTTCGATTTGCAGAGAGGGGAAGAGATTTATATGGAATTTGTGAAAGAAGGGTTTGTGTTGTATGATGATCATGTTAGGTCGGCTCTTTTGGATTTGTATGGAAAATGTGGTTGTTTAGAGATGGGTAAAGTTGTTTTTAAGCAAATCACAAGAAAGAATTTGGTTGCTTGGAATTCAATGATTGCCGGATACGGTTTGAAAGGGGATAGTAAATCATGCATTGAGCTTTTGAAGAGAATGAATAATGAAGGGACTAAACCTTCTCTAACTACATTGACAAGTATTTTAATGGCTTGTTCAAGATCATCTCAAGTTCGACATGGAAAATTCATACATGGGTATATAATCAGAAACAGAGTAGAAACAGATACTTTCATTAACATTTCACTCATTGATTTCTATTTCAAGTGTGGTAGAGTTCAGGCTGCTGTACATATCTTCAAGAAGACGCCAAAGATGGATGCAATTTCATGGAACGTTACGATTTCCGGGTATGTGACAATGGGGAATTATTTCGAAGCTCTTGGCATCTACAATGACATGAGAGAAGCTGGTGTTAGACCAGATGCCATAACTTTCTCTAGTGTGTTATCAGCTTGTTCACAACTAGCTGCCTTAGAGAAAGGTAAAGAGATTCACAGCTCTGTAATTGAGAGTGAGTTGGAAAATGATGAGGTAGTGATGGGAGCACTTCTTGACATGTATGCCAAATGCGGGGATGTTAACAAAGCACTGCAAACTTTCTATAAATTACCAGAAAGAGATGCTGTGTCTTGGACTACCATGATTGCAGCGTATGGGTCTCACGGCCAAGCCTTAGAAGCACTTACCCTTTTCCGGGACATGCTAAAATCCAATTCCAAACCCGACCGAATTACTTTCCTAGCAGTTTTATCAGCATGTAGTCACGGTGGTTTGGTCGATGAAGGCTCTCATTG